TAATCACCTGGAAATTAAAAACACAAATCGTGATTAGGATCTTAAAAAACAAGTAATCCAATCAACGAGTAATGGATATAATAAATAATCTCACAATTTTGTTTCGTTATAAATGTTGAGACAGTTGACAACATTTTTTTGGTTACTTTATAGGAATAACACCGATCACTCAAAAGTTGTTTGTTTTATAACAATTCCAGTTACCTGTTAACAGCTCTTCAATTTTGTTAATGGTGGCGTAGTTTGTTATGGAGAATTGTGGTAAGGAGACATCTTCTACCCCTGTGACAGCGCCCCTGTCGTTGAGCCAGTAGAGGACGATGTCATCCATGGTGTAGCCATCTGTCACGGAATAGACAGGGATGTTAGAGGGAATAGACAAGGGGGTTAGAGGGAATAGACAAGGGGGTTAGAGGGAATAGACAAGGGGGTTAGAGGGAATAGACAAGGGGGTTAGAGGGAATAGACAAGGGGGTTAGAGGGAATAGACAAGGGGATTAGAGGGAATAGACAGGTGAGTTAGCGCGAACAGACAGGGGGTTAGAGGGAATAAACAGGGATTTTAGAGGGAACAGATAAGCATGTTAGAGGGAATAGATAAGGGGGTTAGAGAGAATAAACAAGCCTCTTCTAGGAAATAGCAATCAAGCTGTAATAAAATTGGTAAGTATTTAAACAATATAAGAAATGTATATGATGTCATAAGAGAACATCAGGTCTAGACATCTCATGTAAATCAGCATCAAAACTTTGGCCCCTCCCCACAACACACACATGGAGCCTCAGATTTTCTCACACAACACGCTCAGCTTTTAACACCACTATTTTATACTACAAGTTGTTATCTATCTAAAGTACATATCACCTCATATCGCCACATATCACCACATTACCAAATATCCCCCCATATCACCACGTATCACCATGCATCACCACAGATCAACGAATACCAGGCACATCTTATCACGTAACCACATCTCTAACGTACACTCCCAACACGTGCTAAGTAGCCACCTTACATTAAACTGCACTGCTGTAGTATCGCACACCTTCTGTTCTGTGGTGTCGCACACCTTCTATTCTGTGGTATCGCACACCTTCTATTCTGTGGTATCGCACACCTTCTATTCTGTGGTATCATACACCTTCTATTCTGTGGTATCGCACACCTTCTATTTTGTGGTGTCGCACACCTTCTATTCTGTGGTATCGCACACCTTCTATTCTGTGGTATCGCACACCTTCTATTCTGTGGTATCGCACACCTTCTGTTCTGTGGTATCGCACAGCTTCCATTCGCTATTCAAATTGCAATTGATTATCTTAGCGCAAAACAATTTATAAGTCTGTAATCGAGGTCACCGCTCTACGCGAGGGGTCTCAAACTCAAATTATCCGGGGGCCTGAGGAGGTGGACTCTGAATGAGCGAGAGTGGGCCGCATCAAGTATTCCACAAAAAAGCTATAACAAATTTACAAGTGCAACTGTTACAATCTGCTCAATCTTTCTTAACAACAGATAAAAACATTAATAGTTCTCAAGAACTAGGCTTCACTTTCTTCATCCTACTCCTTGTTGCCAGAGACCTGGCAGCGCTTCTTTTTACACAGCTGAGCAACATTTAGCGTGAGCGAGAAAGCAACTGAGAACCTCAGTGTGGCTTGAAGATGCTCATCAGTAAATTCGGTCCTGAACTTTGACTTGTGGAGCATCTTTCACATTGATAAAGGGTCAGCAAAAAAATAAATAAATGAAAATTCGCTCTGTGTCTTTTGAAATCTGCAAACCTGTAATCAAATTCTTCCCGTAGCTTTGCAATGGCATCAGTATACTTGCTACTGAATGGTGTGTCTGAATCCATGACGTTTCTCTGAGATAACTGGGTTTTCCATGGTACACGTTTTGTGCAGAATTCCCTGAAATTTTCATATGCAACACTGACAAACAGCCCCTGGTCTTATAACTTCTTGCTGAATGCATTCAGCTCCCGTGTAATGTCAACAAGAAAAGCCAAGTCCATGAGCAATTTGGAATCACTTAGTACAGGAACAACAACTCCATCCTTCTCCATGAAGACTTTGATCTCTGCGCTCAACTCAAAACATAATTTCAAGACGTTTCCCCTACTAAGCCGACATTCCTCGGTGAAGTAGATAACATTTTTATATGCTGAAATTTCCATTAAAAATACGGGCAACCAACGCTTCTTCGAGCTTTTGGACTTGATAAAGTTGATGCATTTCACAACGTCAGACATCATATTGTCAAACTTCAGGCATTGGCGGCAAATGGCCTGCTGACGGATACTGCAGTGTAGAGCCATGGAATGACATTGCAGCTATGTCCCACAATCAACTAATGCAAGATACGACAAAAGATGGGGCCATCATTTCAGCACATGTCGGACTCAATGTAAATGAAAGCAATGCAAAGGTTATGACGGTAAATTGTCACAGTTATGGTTGTCTATTTACCACTGACTGACTTTTTAAGCTTTTCTCAAAACCGCCCCGTGGCCATGTTTGTCTCATTCATTGCTATACAATAAAAACTTGTCCTTCGATTTTCAAACGATTTTTATCATTATATTCAACGTGTTAATCTACACAAACGTAAAAAATATAAAAAATCAGAATTAGACTAGTCTTCGAGATTCGACTGAAACCATCACGGAGTGTCACCAAAGAAGTATTTGGGTAGGGCAGGGTGGGAAATTTGCAGGTTTTATTTAAAATGATATGTACTCAATGTACTGTGCTATGAACTGTGCTATAATGTTTACTTAACATTGTATTATTAATGTAACATTGCATATGTACTGTAACATTGTATTAGTACTGTAACATTGTATGTGTACTGTACCATTTAATGTGTACTGTACCATTTTATGTGTACTGTAACATTATATGTGTATTATAACATTGTATGTGTATTTTAACATTGTATGTGTAATGTAACATTGTATATGTACTGTAACATTGTAGTATTAATGTAACATTGTATATATTCTGTAATTTTGTAGTATTAATGTAACATTGCATATGTATAGTAACATTGTATTAGTACTGTAGCATTGTATCTGTACCATAACATTGTATGTGTACTGTAATATTGTATTATTAATGTAACATTGTATATGTACTGCAACATTGTATTGTACTGAATATTGCATGTGTACTGTAACTTGGTATGTGTACTGTAACTTGGTATGTGTACTGTACCATTTTATGTGTACTGTAACATTGTATATGTACTGTAACATTGTATGAGTACTGTAACATTGTATGTGTACTGTAATATTATATTATTACTGTAACATTGTATATGTACTGTAACATTATATTTGTACAATAGCAATTTATTAGTATTATAAAATTTTATGTGTACTGTAACATTGTATTAGCACGGATCGGTCTAGCAAGCCACCTAATGAGCTCACCGTAACCCAACCTACCCCTAACCCAACCTCCCCCTAACTCAACCTCCCCCTAACCCAACCTCCCCCTAACCCAACCTCCCCCTAACCTTTGGATGACCCGATGGTCCTAGTCGACTTCGACGGACGAACAACAACAACATTAGTACTGTAACATTGTATGTTGCCACCTAATGAGCTCACCGTACCCCAACCTACCCCTAACCCAACCTCCCCCTAACTCCACCTCCCCCTAACCCAACCTCCCCCTAACCCAACCTCCCCCTAACCTTTGGATGACCCGATGGTCCTAGTCGACTTCGACGGACGAACAACAACAACATTAGTACTGTAACATTGTATGTGTACTATCACATTGTATGCTTATGTTAACTATGGGTTATCAATGTAAAATTGTATATCTACTGTAACATTGTATTAAAACTGTAACACTGCATGTGTACTATAACAATGTATGTGTGCTGTAACATTGTATGTGAACTGTAACATTATATATGTGCTATAACTTGTATTAGTACTGTAACATTGTATTATTATTGTCACATTGGATATATACTGTAACACTGTATGCGTACTATAACTTTGTATGTGTACTGTAACATTGTGTGTGTACTGTAACATTGTATTATTAATATAAAATTGTATTGTACATACATATTGTAGTAGTACTGTATCATTGTTTATGTTCTAAAAAAAGTGTATGTGTACTACAACATTGTATATGTACCGTAGCATTGTATGTGTAGTATAACATTGTATGGGTACTTTAACATTGTATTATTGCGATAAAATTGTATATGCACTGTAAAATTGTATGTGTACTATAAAATTGTATATGTACTATAACATTGTTTGTGCACTATAACATTGTATGTGTATTAAAACATTGTATGTGTACTATAGCATTGTATGTGTACTCTAATATTGTATATGTACTATAACATTGTATGTTCACTATAACATTGTATGTGTACTGTAACATTGTATGTGCACTATGACATTGTATGTGCACTATAACATTGTATGTGCACTATAAAATTCTATGTGCACTATAACATTTTATGTGCACTATAACATTGTTTCCACCAGAAAATATTTTAAAATAATATTTTTAAATCCCCATCTTTAAAGTATTCAATAATTCTTTCCTGCAAACTTTTCCATTGTCGTAAGGCACTCTTGTTAAAACGGAAGTGCTCTTACAACTGTTCCATTGTCGTAAGGCACTCTTGTTAAAACGGAAGTGCTCTTACAACTGTTCCATTGTCGTAAGGCACTCTTGTTAAAACGGAAGTGATCTTACAACTGTTCCATTGTCGTAAGGCACTCTTGTTAAAACGGAAGTGCTGCTACAACTGTTCCATTGTCGTAAGGCACTCTTGTTAAAACGGAAGTGCTGCTACAACTGTTCTATTGTCGTAAGGCACTCTTGTTAAAACGGAAGTGCTGCTACAACTGTTCCATTGTCGTAAGGCACTCTTGTTAAAACGGAAGTGCTGCTACAACTGTTCTATTGTCGTAAGGCGCTCTTGTTAAAACGGAAGTGCTGCTACAACTGTTCCATTGTCGTAAGGCACTCTTGTTAAAACGGAAGTGCTGCTACAACTGTTATATTGTCGTAAGGCGCTCTTGTTAAAACGGAAGTGCTGCTACAATCCTATTTTCACTCTCCATTCAGATCTCCACATAAACGCAATCATTTAAAGGCATTGTTTGAGTTAGACTTTACTTTATTTCGATGGATTGCTAAACAGCTCTATCGGAGTGTTTCACTCTATCTATTCTATCGTGACGAACCTGACCCAGAATACCAGCCGTGACACACACACATAAAAGGTGTAAGTCATCCATGCATTGAGTTTCTACTGCTGCAGATCACAGCCACACCAGACTCTGACCATGTACAAGATCCTGCTGTGCTGTCTCGCCATCATCGCTGGCGCCCATGTAAGTGTTCCAGGTTTTTAAATGAAATATAGTATCACAAGAGACTAACGATATATCTGTACACAATTATATCTATACCATTATATATGCACAGTTATATCTGTAAAAGTATATCTGTACCAATATAACTGTACAATTATATCTGTACAATTATATAATGTGTACAATTATATCTGTACGAAATATATATTTAAAATTATATCTGTACAATTATGTCTGTACCAATATATCTGTACAATTATAACTGTACATTTATTCCTGTAATAATATATCTGTACAATTTTATCTGCACAAATATTTCTGTACCAATAAATCTGTACAATTATATCTGTACCATTATTTCTGTACAATTATATCTGTAACATTATTTCTGTACAATTATATCCGTTCAATTATTTCTGTACAATTATATCTGTGCAATTATATCTGTACAATTATATATGTACACTTATATATGTACGAAATATATATGTACAATTATATATGTACACGTATTTCTGTAGCAATTTATATGTACAGTTTATATGTACAAAGATATATGTACAATAATTTCTGTACAATTATATCTGTTCAGTTATTTCTGTACAATTATATCTGTACAATTATTTCTGTACAATTATATCTGTACACTTATATCTGTACGAAATATATATGTACACTTATATAGGTAGAATTATTTCTGTAGCAATATATCTTTACAATTATATTTGTATAATTATTTCTCTACCAATAAATATGTACAATTTTATATGTACAATAGCATCTGTACAATTATTTCTGTACACTTATATCTGTACAATTTTATCTGGACAATTATTTATGTACACTTATATCTGTACAATTATTTCTGTACACTTATATCTGTACAATTATTTCTGTACACTTATATCTGTAAAATTATTTCTGTACACTTATATCTGTACAATTATTTCTGTACACATATATCTGTACAATTATTTCTGTACCATTATAATTGTACAAACTTTATTTTCTTCGTTATCGTTTGCTTTCGCCGTGATTCGGTCGGACATCTATTTGTCACATGATGGCCAGTGATCGCAGTACTAAACATGAAGTCGTGTTTTGTCTGTTCTTTTGTCTGTTCTTTTGTCTGTTCTTTTGTCTGTTCTTTTGTCTGTTCTTTTGTCTGTTCTTTTGTCTGTTCTTTTGTCTGTTCCTTTGTCTGTTCTTTTGTCTGTTCTTTTGTCTGTTCTTTTGTCTGTTCTTTTGTCTGTTCTTTTGTCTGTTCTTTTGTCTGTTCTTTTGTCTGTTCCTTTGTCTGTTCTTTTGTCTGTTCTTTTGTCTGTTCCTTTGTCTGTTCTTTTGTCTGTTCTTTTGTCTGTTCTTTTGTCTGTTCTTTTGTCTGTTCCTTTGTCTGTTCTTTTGTCTGTTCTTTTGTCTGTTCCTTTGTCTGTTCTTTTGTCTGTTCTTTTGTCTGTTCTTTAGTCTGTTCTTTTGTCTGTTCTTTTGTCTGTTCTTTTGTCTGATGGTTTGTTTGTTTGTCTTTTTGTTTGGTCACCAAAAAAGCTGCCGTGATTGTTTTCAGATTGACTTAAAAATTGTTCCTTGTCAACTTAAAGGTAAGCTTTTGAAAATTGAAAAGCAGTTGCACAGGTCAACACATAATCCATGACCTCTATCCATGAACTCTTCCCATGAATTCTATCCATCAACGCTATCCATAAACTCAATCCATCCATTCTTCCTCTATATATTATGGGGTCACGATCAATTTATTGATCATTCTCGCGCCTATCATTATCTATCAATGAATTCTATCCATGTCCTCTATCCATGAACTCTATCCATAAACTCCATCCATGAACACTATCCATAAACTTTATCCACGAACTCTATTCATGAACTCTATTCACGGACTCTATCCATGACCTCCACACACAGGCGCTGGTCGGCAAAGTGTGCACTACGGCGTCAGAATGTGATGACGGCGAGTGCTGTCAAATTCTCAGCGAGTTCTTGGTGATGAGCAGGAGACAAGTGCTGGCACTGCCCACAGCTGCCCCCAAGACAGGCAAGTGTCACTGAGCAGTTTTAGTTCCGTGTCAAAACGTAATATTTGGTCAGCTGTAGCTTTAAGTGGGTCTGACTAACTAATGGTAGTGACTTGAATCACGTTGAACTCGACCAAGAAACTTTGACATGCATCGATGCTTGAGTTGCTCCTGACTTTCAATAGTCAGTAAATGTAATGACAAAACATTAATACAAAATAAGACTATAAAAAAATATATGTAAAGGATTGTTTTCGAAATAATTTGTATGGGGGACGGGGGGGGGGGGGGGGGGGGGGGGTTGTTGAATTACATCTAAAATATAAATCATACAAAACTTTTAAAAATTTACTTATAAGGAATGAAAATGGACGGATAACTCCTGGATGCCCAGTGCTCTATGGCCGTCCTTTAAAGTACCGTAGCCGAAGAACTGTTGACACAGCAAATGTTGACTCAATCGCTTGTATTAGTTCTGAACTAGTTCTAGTTGATTTAATCAGAGGTCAACAAACAACCAGCTTCTCTTGACCTCGTCATGACGTCACCACACGATTTCAGCCGATAGCTTTGTTTTGTTTCGTAGATTTAATGACAAGATAACTGTCTGGAAATCTCAAACTTTATTTTTAACCAATGCACCTTTAAAAAAAAAGAAAAGTTCTATAAAATATTATTAGAAATTAGGAGTAAAATGCACAGTTTGATTGTTTTAAAAATAAAAATTTGGGCCGTTTACAATAAATTTAAAATGTATAAACTTAATCCTAAACAATAAACACTAGCGGACTAAGCTATAAACTCAATCGGTTATTGAAACAGAGTGACATCAAATGAGAATTATTAATAAAAATAAAACACACATTGATGATACCTTCACAAGGCTTTTGTCCAGAACACAATCCCTGCCCTCATTGTGTCTAATCCCTGCCCTCATTGTGCCTAATCCCTGCCCCCATTGTGTCTAATCCCTGCTCTCATTGAGTTTAATCCCTGCCCCCATTGTGTCTAATCCTGCCCTCATTGTGTTTAATCCCTGCCCTCATTGTGTCTAATCCCTGCCCTCGTTGTGTTTAATCCCTGCCCTCATTGTGCCTAATCCCTGCCCCCATTGTGTCTAGTCCTACCCTAATTGTTTATAATCCCTGCCCTCATTGTGTCTAATCCCTGCCCTCATTGTGTCTAATCCCTGCCCCCATTGTGTCTAGTCCTGCCCTCATTGTTTATAATCCCTGCCCTCATTGTGTCTAATCCCTGCCCTCATTGTGTCTAATCCCTGCCCCCATTGTGTCTAGTCCTGCCCTCATTGTGTCTAATCCCTGCCCTCATTGTGTCTAATCCCTGCCCTCATTGCGTCTAATCCCTGCCTTCATTGTGTCTAATCCCTGCCCTCATTGTGTCTAATCCCTGTTTCACAGGTACATGTCAGAAGTACAAGCTGGAGGGCGACGCTTGCAGTGTGTTTGAGAAAATGAACGGCCACTGCAGCTGTGAACCAGGTACCACGTGCCACACCTATGAGATCCCACTCCCGACAACCAACGGGGCCAGGTCTATGATGATGCCACGTCCAGGGTACCAGTGGATCTCAAAATGTGAAAAGCCTGTGGCTTAAGTTGCTGATGTCAGAGTGTAAAAACATGTTATATGTATGATGAAATAAAACTTCTCATACCAGACTGGTCTCGATGTATTTGTTTGATTATTAGATTATTAGGATGTCTTTATTTTGATGATGTAATCAGTGTGATGTCTTTATTTTGATGATGTAATCAGTGTGATGTCTTTATTTTGATGATGTAATCAGTGTGATGTCTTTATTTTGATGATGTAATCAGTGTGATGTCTATTTTAATTACGCAATCAGTCGGTTGTTTTAACAGTTAAATTTAACCCCCCCCCCCAAATTATTCAAAGCCACTTTTGTATGAGATGTTTTGGTCACAATGACACATTTTTTTCTCTTAAGAAATACACAACTACATAATTCTCTATGTAACAATGTCACTAATGCAACACGATGGCGCTGATTTCCTTAAATAAAATATCCGATGACTGCGCTAAATACGATTCCTGGACACACCCTAGGTGCGTTTGGTGCGTTTGGTGCGTTTGGTGCGTTTGGTGCGTTTGGTGCGTTTGGTGCGTTTGGTGCGTAGTATGTTCTTTTGTTTTACGGGAACAGTTGGTGTTACACATCTGCAGATTGAAAGGAGGGTGGGGCATTAGAATAGCATTAAAAAGTTAAGGAGGGATGGCGGCTTGGGAAAAGGGGGTGGAGAGGGGGGGGCAATATGCATCAGTAGTATGTGGGTGGAGAGGAGGGGCAATACGCATCAGTAGTATGTGGGTGGAGTGGGGGGCAATACGCATCAGTAGTATGTGGGTAGTTTTGGTGCGTAGTATGTTCTTTTGTTTTACGGGAACAGTTGGTGTTACACATCTGCAGATTGAAAGGAGGGTGGGGCATTAGAATTGCATTAAAAAGTTAAGGAGGGATGGCGGCTTGGGAAAAGGGGGGGGGGAGGAGGGGGGCGTCTTATAAAGTTCGTTGCTTGAATCCATGTTTTCTCAAGTAACTTTAGTAGACCGGAAGTTCCCACATTGTGGCCGCCATTGTTAGGCGGGCTATAGCCAGTGTACAAGCATAGATTCTTACGTCTCCTTCTCTTTCTCTGTCACATAAACGACCTCCCTGATACTGTAAAATCTGAAGAGAGGCTGTTTGCAGATGACTGTCTTGTCTAGAGTGAGATAAATGGCTACGATGACCACAACCACCTCCAAGCAGATTTGAAGTGCCTTATGAAATGGGCGGGCAAATGGGGCATGCTATTTAACGAAACCAAATGCTACACAATGAGCATCTAAAAAAAACCAACATCAACCTATATGTACTCTCTAAACAAAACCATTCTCCAACAAGTGTCAAATAATCCATACCTTGGAATTCTTTTCTAAAATAACCTAAAATGGTTAGCCCACATAAACAAAATAAAAAAAAAGCCAACTCCACGCTTGGTTTCATTTGACGAAATCTGCACCGCTGCCCAACATCCTGCAAGCGAAATGCCTATCTCGCACTCGTTCGTCCGCTACTAGAATATGGTGCGATCATCTGGGACCCATACCTTAAGCAAGACGTGGACAGGATGGAGCGAGTACAACGCAACACAGTGCGCTTCATCGCAAGTGACTACAAATCCACGATTCCTGGCTTCGTCACTGGCCTCTTTAAAAAAAATTGACACCCCCTACCTCAAAGACAGATGAGAAAAGCTCCGTCTAACATTTCTCTATCAAGTGGTAACTTTCCCAAACCATTGCATAAATGCCAGTACATGGGTGCAGCAACGTAGTCTATCAGAATCAGGATCATGGAACGTTGAGCCCAATGGTACACTCAATAAAATTCCCCATGACTGTGCCAAGTGGTTTTCTTTTAAAAAACGCAATTTCTTTGAATCTTAAGAGTTTCCTTTGTTGCACTGAATACCATGAGATTAAATAGGATTTAATAAATCTGCCTCGTCAAAACTGAAGAAAAAAAGGAGGGATGTGGGGGGGGGGGCATTGGAACAACGGAGCGGTTATTCACAGTCGCCTTGGAGTAATAATTGCTAAGGGGAGTAAACTATTTAATCGTTTGGGAATAATGTTGAGCATTATACACAGTCGGCTGAGGATAACGCCTCCCAGGTATGATGTAACGCCTCCCAGGTATGATGTAACGCCTCCCAGGTATGATGTAACGCCTCCCAGGTATGATGTAACGCCTCCCAGGTATGATGTAACACCTCCCAAGTATGATGTAACGCCTCCCAGGTATGATGTAACGCCTCCCAGGTATGATGTAGGGGTGTGCAAGGAGTGCATCTATATTCTCAACTTTAGGCTGAGGTGATATTATTTTGAAAGGATTCTTCATTATGTGAATAAAGTTACGTTTCACTAAGGTGTTGAGTTGTTTCAAGTGGGATTGATGATTCATTATACATCGATGACGTGGCAGTGACAGTTGAATAATAGTAACGTAGATTGAGCTGTCTATCATTTTTGTGTTCCCCACAACAACAGCGTGAATAGTAACATAGGTGTCAGAAGTCGCAATGCGTAATTCAAGGATGGACAAACATTTCGATAGACATAAAGAAATGCACAACAATTTAATAGACAGAAAAATGATAGAGAAAGAGTTGTTAGAGTAAGAGTTGATAGAGTAAGAGTTGTTAGAGTAAGAGTTGATAGAGTAAGAGTTGATAGAGTAAGAGTTGATAGAGTAAGAGTTGATAGAGTAAGAGTTGTTAGAGTAAGAGTTGTTAGAGTAAGAGTTGATAGAGTAAGAGTTGTTAGAGTAAGAGTTGTTAGAGTAAGAGTTGATAGAGTAAGAGTTGATAGAGTAAGAGTTGATAGAGTAAGAGTTGTTAGAGTAAGAGTTGATAGATGAAAAAGTCGAAAAACTAAGTGTTCATAAACAAAGAGTTGAGAGACAAAACAACACAGGGGCAGCTGTCGGCCTAGTTTCCCATCGCTGGCAACAAACAGAACCCATTGAACACTGGGACCCAGAGATGGCGCAGGCGTTAATCTGCAAATGATTGAATATCGCAGACATCAAATGGAAGGTGATGTTGAAACTCACGGCCGACTGAGTTGATGTCTTCAGAAGAGCTGAACAGGTGCAATCAGAGACTTTTGATGAATCAAGCTTTTATCAACTGTATGCTTTAAATGAAAAATGTTTTTGGTCTGTCTAGCCCAGGGCAAGTGTGAGGTAGCCCAGGGCAAGTGTGAGGTAGCCCAGGGCAAGTGTGAATTAGCCCAGGGCAAGTGTGATGGAGCCCAAGGCAAGTGTGAGGTAGCCCAGAGCAAGTGTGAGGTAGACCAAGGCCCAAGGCAAGTGTGAGTGGCCCAGCGTATGTTTTTAACGGTTAAAGGTCATTCCTTCTAAAGACTACACTGGATGATTTTTAAAACTACTAATTTTTTTGGCTTTATGTCATCATGCATCAAACGAGCTTCACATAAAACAGTCTTCATGGCCTGTCTAGACTGACCTTTAACCCGAGCTCTCCATGACCCACCCCCTCCCCTTGCCCCCATGAGCTGTAAAAGTACATTTTGATCGGATTTTTTGTTGTGACCGAGATGTGAGGCAGGGCAGAAATGATGGAGAAGTGTGACTTACTTCACGTGACCGAGTTGTGAGGCATGATGGGAAGGATGGAGATGTGGGCCTGATTACATATGGAGGATGGAAAGTGCACTATAAATTATGCCAGCAAAGTTATAAGCGTGCTTTCTTGAATCGCATCGCTTGATGTCCTGAAGGTGATCACCACTACACAAAGGTAGCCTTTGATTTACACTGAGATATGCAAGTTTCTAGATTTATCTTTACAAATTGTCTTTTAAACGTATTTTTTTGTCCATGAGCCTTCTAACAAACACAAAGTATGTGAAAAAATTGTAAGAAATTATATAATGAATTAATATTATAAAAATTCGACAGTTCCACAGTCGTACAGAAACATGGACTTGATTTCTCTACTTCTCACATTCGCCTGCATGGTCACCGTATCTTATGTGAGTATATTTCTAAACAACGGTTGGGACTAGGTTTCTTACCTGAGTATTTTACCAAATAGTCGGTAGGTTGGTCGGTCGGCGTCATGTATTTCAACAAAATATAATAATTCGTTACAAAGAACTATAAGCTATTGAATTAAGATGACCTGTTTGACTAAATCAGGCTTAACTTATAAATGTGTTTGATCAACTGTTTCACTAAATCAGGCCTAACTTATGAATGTGTTTGATGACCTATTTCACTAAATCAGGCCTAACTTATGAATGTGTTTGATGACCTGTTTGACTAAATCAGGCTTAACTTATAAATGTGTTTGATCAACTGTTTCACTAAATCAGGCCTAACTTATGAATGTGTTTGATGACCTATTTCACTAAATCAGGCCTAACTTATGAATGTGTTTGATGAATTGTTTCACTAAATCAGGCCTAACTTATGAATGTGTTTGATGACCTGTTTCACTAAATCAGGCCTAACTTATGAATGTGTTTGATGAATTGTTTCACTAAATCAGGCCTAACTTATGAATGTGTTTGAGTCTGGGGTTGATGTTAGCCTCAGGAACATTACATCGTTGTGTTAATATTCAATGAAGCGACACTGAAGAGACACATACTTTCATTGACATTCCAAAGTTTGGCGTTTTATCTGAACGATAGGGCAAAACTCCAAACCTACAGATCTTTGATAACTATCTCTCCAAACGACCCTTTCTCCAAAATGAACCTTTCCCCAAAATGAACCTTTCCCCAAAATGAACCTTTCCCCAAAACGAACCATTCCCCAAAATGAACCTTTCCCCAAAATGAACCTTTCCCCAAAATGAACATTTCCCCAAAATGAACCTTTCGCCAAAATGAACCTTTCCCCAAAATGAACCTTTCCCCAAAACGAACCTTTCCCCAAAATGAACCTATCCCCAAAATGAACCTTTCCCCAAATGAACCTTTCCCCAAATGACCTTTGCCTCTCACCGCCTCATTACTTTACAAGCAAGATGCAACATTAAAAAACAACACACAAAGTATGCAATAATTACTAGACCAGAAATAATTCTCACCATTTTCAGACGATTAGATTTCCTTTTGGCCTGGCAATACGCTCAAGTTAAATGCACAAATGATTATTTCATGCGATTTTATTCATTATGTTATTGTCACTTGACACACCAAAAAATCTCTCATTTGTATTACTAGTTTGTTATTAACGCAATCTTTCAATTCCCATGACCCTAGGCCACTCTTGGTCACATTTGTTCATATAACTCCGAGTGTGACCAGGGAGAGTGTTGTCAGATCCTGAGTGCCGTCATGGTCGTCAGCAAGAAACGACAACTGGACTGGATGACCACGACACCTGGAGGCAAGTCTGTGAGACTAATGAATTTAAGATACTTTTGAATTTATGATAGTAGTGAGTTTATGATACTTTTGAAATTATGATAATAGTGAATATATGATACTTTTGTGAATTATTATAGTAGTGAAATTATGATACTTTTGAATTTATGAAAGTAGTGAATTTAGGATTCTTTTGAATTTATGATAGTAGTCAATTTTTGATACGTTTGAATCTACGATACTAGTGAATCTATGAAACGATTGAATTTATTGTTCTAGTGAATCAATGATACTTTTGAATATATGCTACTAGTAAATCTATGATACTTAATCTATGATACTTAATCTATGATACGTGTGCATCTATGCGACTAGTGAATATATGAAAATTTTGAATATATGCCACTAGAAAATCAATAATGCTATCAACTATGGTACTTCAAATCTATGATACCAGTGAATCCGTGACACTAGTGAATTCATTATGCGCTTGAATTTATGATACTAGTGAATCTATGAAACTCCTGAATCTATGATACTAAGGAATTTATGATACTTTTGAATTGATGATACTATTCAATTTATGATTCTATTGAATTAATGATACTAGTGAATCTATGATACTTTTGAATATATGCTACTTATGAATTTATGCTATAAGTAAATATTTTACTAGTAAACCTATGATACCAGTGAATCTGTTACACTACTTAATCTAAGAAACTAATGAATTTATGATTCGGGTGAATCTATTTCTTAGTGAATGTATGACACTAGTAATTGTATGCTAATAGTGTTTTAATGTAGTGCGTGGAGCCCTCATGTAAATGGCGCGTTCAAATATCGGAAACTTTAGTTAAGAAATCAAACATGTTATTGCAACGCAGCTTCTAATGATGGCTACGATTTCAAGAAGCGAATCAGGTGACAAACCAGTGCGCTAATTGTTGTAAGTAAACACGCTGATATCTTTCATTTGTTGAGCAGGCACTGTGGGCAGTTGTCAACTGTACCAAACTGAAGGAAGTTCATGTCACCCTCTGGACGTACTTAACGGCTACTGCAGTTGTGAGCCCGGGACCCAGTGCACCGAGGTGGAGGAGCCTACGACTACCACCACCACCACCACCACCACCACACCTGAGCCATCCGACTGCTCAGATCCCAATGGACCCACCACGCCCTCTATCGCCAAGCGTACACCAGGCAGACCTGGTTATCAGTGGCTTTGCACGGCTTGAAACTAGCACACGGCACAGAGACTTGGCGGATTGTAGAGCAACATAAACATTAAACACTAGCTGTTGAAAGTATAGCCAGACTCATCTAATCATTAAGCCATACCTGTTGAAAGTGTAGCTGTTAAAGTAAAGCTGTTTTAAGTATAGGTGTTTTAAGTATAGTTTTTAAATTATAGCTGTTTAAAGTATACTTGTTTAAATTATAGCTGTTTAACAGTAAACAGACCCATTAAAGCATTAAACTTAAGCTGATTAAAGTTTAGCTGTTTTTAGTATTGCATTTTAAAGTATAGATGTTTAAATACACCTATCTCAGCACGCACTCCTATCTTAACACGTACACCTATCTCAGCCCGCACACCTATCTTAACACGCACAACAATCTTAACACGCACACCTATCTTAACACGCACACCTATCTCAGCTCGCACTCCTATCTTAACACGCACACCTAACTTAACACGCACAACAATCTTAACACGCACACCTATCTTAACACGCACACCTATCTCAGCCCGCACTCCTATCTTAACACGCACACCTATCTCAGCCCGCACTCCTATCTTAACACGCACTCCTATCTTAACACGCACACACATCTCAGCCCGCACTCCCATCTTAACACGCACACCTATCTTAAAACGCACACCTATATTAACACGCACACATATCTAAACACGCACACCTATCTCAGCCCGCAGTCCCATCTTAACACGCACACCTATCTTAACACGCACACCTATCTTAACACGCACACCTATCTCAGCCCGCACTCCCATCTTAACACGCACACCTATCTTAACACGCACACCTATCTTAACACGCACACATATCTAAACACGCACACCTATCTCAGCCCGCACTCCTATCTTAACACGCACACCAATCTCAGCCCGCACTCCCATCTTAACACGCACACCTATCTTAACACGCACACATATCTAAACACGCACACCTATCTCAGCCCGCACTCCTATCTTAACACGCACACATATCTTAACACGCACACCTATCTCAACCCGCACACCCATCTCAACACGCACACACATCTCAACACTAACACGCCCACCTATCTTAACACGCACACCTATCTAAACACGCACACCTATCTCAGCCCGCACTCCTATCTTAACACGCACACATATCTAAACACGCACACCTATCTCAGCCCGCACTCCCATCTTAACACGCACACACATCTCAGCCCGCACTCCCATCTTAACACGCACAACTATCTTAACACGCACACCTATCTTAACACGCACATCTATCTAAACACGCACACCTATCTTAACACGCACACCTATCTTAACACGCAAACCTATCTCATCCCGCACACCTATCTTAACAAGCAAACCTATCTTAACACGCACAACTTTCTTAACACGCACACCAATCTTAACACGCACAACTATCTTAACACGCACATCTATCTTAACACGCACACCTATCTTAACACGCACACCTATCTTAACACGCACACTTATCTTAACTCACACACCTATCTTAACACGCACATCTATCTTAACACGCACACCTTTTTTAACACGCAAACCTATCTTAACACGCACAACTTTCTTAACACGCACACCAATCTTAACACGCACACCTATCTTAACACGCACACCTATATTCATACGCACACCAATCTTAACACACACACCTATCTTATCACGCACACCTATCATAACACGCACACCTATCTTATCACGCACACCTATCATAACACGCACACCTATCTTAACACGCACAACAGTCTCACCAAATCCATTATTTCTGAAACATATGGCAATAAAAAAATTAGACCAGAGAATACTACCAAATACATTCTCACTTTCCTGTTCTCCTCGGACCGTTCCTTCATACACCTTACTACCAACATCTCCCCCTTCGCTCTAAGCTAAAATTCCCTAACATTTCTTGATATGCACCATTTACATTTCTTTTAAAATTATTATAAATATAAATTAAGTGACAAATACAAAAATATAAAATTATAATAAATAAACTTGACACAAATTTGCATAAATTCTTAGCTAATCGAAATATCGTGTAGAAGCGGGGGCGTCTACCGCCCCCTCCCGTGGAGACGCCCCTGTTTCAAGAATACATGTTGTGAACTCCATTTGCTGCCTGTCAATTATGTGGACACTTGCTCTTTTAACACGTGACAAGTACATTATCTCCTCCAACAAGGACCCCCATACCGCCCAACACCAACACCAACACCAACACCTCTTACAAAGCAAAACAATAACAAATACAGTGTTTGTTTAGTGAAAGTGTTGCGACATTCACTTGAATGTAATGGGAAACTTGTCTCCATAACGCTTGGCCTCCTTAGCAACAATGGGCAGACATCAGCAGACGTCATTAGCACCAATAGGCAGACATCATGAGACGTCATTGGTAACAATTGGAAGACATCAGGAGACGTCCTTGGTAACAATAGGCAGACATCATGAGACGTCATTAGTAACAATTGGCAGACATCAGGAGACGTCCTTGGTAACAATAGGCAGACATCATAAGACGTCTTTGGTACCAATAGGCAGACATCAGGAGACGACATTGGCAAAAATTGGCAGACATCATAAGACGTCTTTGGTACCAATAGGCAGACATCAGGAGACGACATTGGTAACAATAGGCACACATCAGGAGACGTCCTTGACAACAATGGGCAGACGTCACGGGATGTCATTGGAAACAATGGGCAGACATCAGGAGACGTCATAGGCAAAGATGGGCAGACATCAGGAGAGTAATAGGCAACGATGGTCAGACATCAGGACAGTAGACGTCATTGGCAACAATGGGCTGATATGGCGATAAGTCGACGAAGAAATTTGTCAGTTTGATTGAGGCGATACAGCCAATAAAGTTAGAGAGGCTAAACATGTACAGTCAGATACTTCTAATACTTAGGGATGTTTAACGATTAGTGAAGTCTAACAATCAGAGACGCCTTACAATCCGAGACGTCTGACAATCAGAGACGCCTAACAATCAGAGACGTCTAACAACCAGAGACGTCTAACAATCAGAAATGTCTTACAATCAGAGTCGTCTTACAATCATAGACGTCTAACAATAAGAGACTTCTAACAATCAGAGAAGTCTAACAATAAGAGACGTCTCACAATCAGAGACTTCTAACAATCAGATAAGTATTACAATCAGTGACGTCTTACTATCAGAGACTTCTTACAATCAGATACGTCTAACAAAAAGAAATGTTTTATCCACTATATATTTAAAGAATACAATCATACTTGGTCAGTCCAACAGTCCAGGCCCATGCTTGCTGTGAGTGATGTCCAGGCCGTTGCTAACTGTGAGTGATGTCCAGGCCGTTGCTAACTGTGAGTGATGTCCAGGCCCATGCTAGCTGTGAGTAATGTCCAGGCCCGTGCTAGCTGTGAGTGATGTCCAGGCTCGTGCTAGCTGTGAGTGATGTCAAGGCCCGTGCTAGCTGCGAGTGATGTCAAGGCCCGTGCTAGCTGTGAGTGATGTCCAGGCCCGTGCTAGCTGTGAGTGATGTCCAGGCACGTGCTAGCGGTGAGTGATGTCCAGGCCCGTGCTCGCT